TCAGTTCAAAAGCTCAATCATTACTGCTATAATCATAAAAATAATTATCCAATTTACAGTCCTCTCTCTTAGCTATTTCATTACTTCTGACCTTTAGACAGGAATGTGTTATATGTTACCATAATTGCAAAAATATGAAGGGTCTCGCCTTTCTGACAAATACTTAACATATTTGTCGTTGTGCAGCATATTGAAATAAATAGATGGACATCATCAAGCTGTATGTAGTGTATGGGTGCAGTCCTCTGTCTCCTCATTTCAAGTTGATGCTGTGGTTGAGCAGTATTGGCAGCCATTTCCTCCCTCATGGTTCCAGAGCTATTTGCTGTCTCCGATGACAGAGTTGTCACTGTTGTCCCTTTATCATTGCAGTGATGGCCTTAAAATGTCAGTGATGACTAAGTTGACTTGCATGTCTGTTGCCTTGTCCAGACAACTTAGTCAAACATTTTGACTGTGCTTTTCTTTTTGTTTCCTTTGTTACATCAACATGTCAACAGCACATTTGAATGTCTCTCCTATTTCTCGCTCCAATTTAGACCCTTAAATCAGCCCATATTTGTGCCTCTTGACCCACCAAAGCACACACATACGTCAGTAAAATTGTGTTTTTTTGATATGCCAATGTAACACTGTCTGTCTACTAAGAGAAAGCTATGACACTGTGTGAAACAATGAAATAAATCAAGCAAAATCTGGACCACTGCAGATTTTTCTTGTTTTCTTAACTATTTATTCATCCATCCATCCATCCAACCATCCATCCATCCATCTATCCATCCATCCATCCATCCACCCATCCATTCAGTGGCAGCCAGCTAAAAGGATTATTTCACACAACTCTCTACTCAGTAACATTTCCCAGTCCTATTGGAGGTTCCCAAGGTGTACGTACTCCCTAGGGGTCTCTTGACAGTTGGATGTTCTCAGAAAACCTCCAAAGGAAGTAGCGCAGGAGGCATCCTAACCAGATGCCCAAAGTACCTTAGCTTTCTCTTGAAGGAGCAGCAACTCTGCTCAGAGGTTTCAATGGATGTCCAAGCTTCTCTCTTACCTGGAAGGCTGCCACCTCAAGGAGGAAGATAATTTCAACTGCTTGTTTAAGCAATCATCTCCTTTCAGTCACTGTCCAGAGCTCATGACGATATGCAAGGTTTAGAATGAAGACCAACCAGGAAACTGAGAGCTTCACTTTCTGGGTCAGTTCCTCTTCACCACCTGCATTACTGCAGACACAGCACCAATCCATCCATTCAAATCATGTTCCACTTCCTAGCCACTCACAGAGAAGATCCTGACATGTTTAAACTCCTTCACTAGAGGCAGCAACTCATCTCCAATCCAAAGGGAGCAATTTACTGGTTTCCAGCAGAGAACTGGTGCTGACTCTTAATCAGGTTTCTTTGCATTCAGCTGCAAAGCGCCCTCTAGTGTGTGCTTAGGGTCTGATGCAGGCAACACAACTATGTCATCTGCAAAAAAGCAACGATGGGATTCTAAGGTTGGACATTCTCCATCCTCCTGACTTTGCCTTGACATCCTGTCCATCAATATCACTTACAAGATTGGAGACAAGGGGTGACCTCAGTTGAGTCCAACAATCACTGGAACACGTGTTTGACTTTGCGAACACAGCTCTCGCATTGGTTGTACAAGGACTGGATGGCTCACTATAGGGTCCCCCATGGGCAAGGTTTTTATAACATTAACTGATAAGTAACATTGCTGCTGCAGCACTCTGTAAAACAGTAACTTCATCAACTATGCAAATTAACTCCTTGTGACTTGCGTTATGCTCATTTTTGCTATCTACTCTACTCCTTTCACTTCAGAGCAATTGCATTTGACATGACAGTCACCAAACCCAAACTGATCAAAATCCTTTTTTTTTTTTTTTTTAGTCTACTCTACTCCTTTCACTTCAGAGCAATTGCATTTGACATGACAGTCACCAAACCCAAACTGATCAAAATCCTTTTTTTTTTTTTTTTAGCTCTATCACTCCAAGCGGAAACTCTAACTGGTGATCTCATTATCCCTGACCTGTAATCCGTAGGTTGACGCTGCTTTACTGTGACAAATTTTGGCCAATCCATGTCCTGTGAGCTGAATGAAGGGTTTGTAGTGGCCTTATGTCAGTCTGCCTGACAGTAGCTGACAGGCTGAAGGAGTGAATGATGGCTATTCATGAAGAAGAATGGCAGTTTTACAGACCACCAGCTGCTCCCAAATACTCCTTTCTAACCTCCCATCCGCGCTGTGTATATGTGTGTGCAATATGCTTGTGGGCATCAACTAAAGCTTATGCGTAGTTTTTTTTTTTATTGGCAAAAGATAAGGATGGATTCAAATCAACTGCCAAAGCAAATCATTTGCATAATATCACACTAAAAACAGCCATCTGTAATTCGGATGACCTAAAGTATTTGTTTACAGATGTATTCATTCATTTATTTTAATGTTTTGGTTTGTGTAAGTGTGTGTCTGCATCAGGGGCTTATTTTAAGGTAGGACATGATCAGAGGTATGCATTGTCACTGATTCTATGCTGAACTTTAGCAATTAGGAAGTCCATTTACAGTACTAATAGGTCTCATTAGCGTTTATGTTGATAACAAAAGTGTGTATTATTTACTTTCTATGTGCCCAGCAGATGAGAGTGTCCCCAGAGCTCCATCATTTAGCTTCTTATTAATCCACCATGACATGTAAAGTGGCAAATCTCAAGAGGAAGGGGGGGGGGATAAAGGTTTAGTCGCCCAATACCACAACAGGATCGTTTTTAGAAATAATCCAGAGATCTAAAGTCCAGCAAAAAATCTTTATAAAACTAAAAAAATAACTAAAAACATATGAGTTAACCTAACAACCTAACACCATGGCTTAATTTAATGTTGTCTCAAAGTGGCAACAGTTCAGATTGTGTGTTATAACCAGAGCTACTGTAAAGAGATTTCAACTTTCCACTGCAATCAGCCCCCCTTCTCGCAGAGCTCCAAGAATCTGGAAATCGTGATGGTGTCACAGTCGTGCTTGTGAGCGCTGGCTCGGCTTGCAAGCTCACAACACGGGCTTGTGTTGCCCGCTGGAGGCGAGGCGGGGGAAAGACACGCAAACGGAACAAAAAAGATGAAGCGTTCCCTGTCTCTCCTTGCTGGAGATAGTCGCTGCCATCCCTGTTC